GTGTGTGTGTGTGTGTGTGTGTGTGTGTGTGTGTGTGTGTGTGTGTGAGAGAGAGAATCCCCCCTGGAGGTGCGAGAGCTTGTTATAAAGTCTCTCCGTCATCCCAACGAGGCAAGTTTTTTTTGTATCTTTCCTTTTATCCGCTGAAACAATACAAGCCCCTTGAGAGGTTCCACTGAAAGACCGAAAGAGAGAGAGAGACTGTGCAGAAACAAAGATGGAGGGAGGAGGAATAGGACATGTTGTCACTGACTGATGCAGCCGTCCCCCCCTCTGGGCCAATCACAGTTTGAAAAATGGCTGGTTGCACCAGTGTGATGGCTGCAGAACCGTCAGTAAGCCGAAGGAAGTAAGTTTACTTTGTTGAACCTTTTGCCCTCACGCACATCCATCCGCAAACGGATAAAATGTTAATGCATAACGTTTGTTTTGTACATTAGTCTCAAAATGAACGTCGTATTTTTGCCGGCACGTTTGTTTCAAATCGGTGAGCGAACGTTTCTGCCTCCTCTCTGTTACACGGTTCGGCCGGAACTCACATTCAGTACCAGGTGGGTTCAGTAGAGGGTTCCACTACTGGGGGAACATCTCGTCAGCCCACTCTACCAGGTGAGCTAGCAGGGCCAAGGCTCGTAGGTTTGAATCCAACCCACAAGCCTTTGCAGCATATCGTCCCCCCCTGGTTGTGGCCCTTCGGACTGTACCAAGTGCGCCACAGCATGGGGGGCGGATTGGGGTTTTGTAAATCATTTTTGATGCTTTTTGTTTTGGTTAATTGTTAAACTATTTATGCAGATCCAATTCATTTTTTAGGGAAATTAAACCCCTTATTTGAAAAATCCACCCGAGACTCCTCATGCCTGCTTGCCCCCCCCCCCCCTTTTTTCCGAATATTTTTTAGCAACAATGTGTAATGTGAAGAGAATAGCATAAGGTGACGAACCTGCAACTTTAATCACATCCACGTAGCCCAAAAAAAAAAAAAGTCTACTATTACTTCCTTACAAGAGGTAGACAGCTGGACGCAATAGCTGTTAAACGCTTAATAACCAGGTTTATGTTTCCCAAGACAGATTCCAGTCCTGTCTGCTGTGTTCCAGACCTGAATGTCTTTAAGGCCCTTGGCCAGATTTCAAGATTATGGGCCCTGTTTAAATCCCTTTTATATCATGCTGCCTTTATCCCGCTTTGCTGACGGACACAGAGGACACCATTGTGGCCCGCTACGTTCATCTAAATGATTTAGTAGGAAACTACTACTTAGGGGACGAGAGGAACACTGTTGCCTTCATTACATTACCATTTACAGTCCGCCTCTCACCTTATTGACCCTTTTAACAGTGCATTAGCTCGTCAAGCTGGTATTTAGCAACCCAGCTTTTAGGGGCCAGATATATGCACAAGCAAGAAATTACCAGCAAACAAATCGTACATTATCTGAGTTTTGACTTTATTGAGTTTTAAAAAAGCTACAAACACGTCTTTTTGATGCTTGCAGCCTCAGAGGTGTTTCGGCTTAACGGGTGACCGTGCCGACTGGTGACCCTCAGCGTCATCATGAAAACAAATAGTAGGTGTCTTTGTACAAGCCTTCGATCATTTCTAAACACAAACTCACCTGTGTCTCACAACCATTTCACGTCAGTTACGAAGAGCAGTGGTGGACGCATTCGGATGAAAGTCACGAATCAACACAGTCGCTCGTTAAACTGAAACACCTGTCAAGGTTCAAGGGGGGGAACGCCACTTCCGTTGCCAACATGTGCACACATACTTTTGATGACGTCGGCTGTAAAAGCATCTCTATATAGCGTGTGTTGTGTACATTTTCTTTTTCAAATACCACTTCAAAACTATTTTTTCCTACATTGTTTTCGACATAAGTCTCGACTAAAGAGGTGGCCTGAGCGACGACATTGCCGTAAATGGAGCCGATAGAAAAACACGCGAGACCTTTGAGAACTCAAAGAGAGCTAGAACTTCACAGACGGCTCGGCCTCAGGACACAGCGTGGAGGTAAAAAAGCTTTTCAAGATACGCTCCTGCAGCCGGACAAACGGTCGGTTCCACTTTGTATCTCTAATAAAGGAACGTAAAGAGTAAAGAGCTTCATTTATTCTGGAGCTCCAAGTCAAACCGTGAAACAATTTAGAAACGTCAAATATCTTGACTACAAACCCCCAAACACATGCTTTTGCACAAATACTTTGCTGGAACAACTTTCTCCTACCTGATTCCAATTGTTAAGTTATGTTTTGAGTATATATTCCTTTAAAAAAAAAAAAAAAAAAAAAACTAAATTAAATATAAAAACTCAAACTCAATCAAAGCACGGTGACACGGTCCTGAAATGACACCGCGATTCTCATCGCCCGACTTTAAGACCTTCAGAAGTCATTTCCTTTCGGAAGGCGGGGGAATCGCTGGCTTACTTGCGTTTTAATTTTCTGTGTGGGAGATGGCGTTTCACACTAACTGAAATTGTTCTTCCCCCTCTCAGAAAAAGAACAGAACATTCTAAAGCAGCGCGGAGGAGCCCCGGGGTTACCCTGTGTGTGTGTGTGTGTGTGTGTGTGTGTGTGTGTGTGTGTGTGTGTGTGTGAGAGAGAGAGAGCAAGAAGCTGCCCTACCTGTTTGGTATTGTACTCACGCAGGTAATGATGTACACTATGTATATCTTGGTGGTTCCTCTCTTTGTCTGTGTGACATTTCTCTCAAACACTTCAGTCGACACCGTTCATCGCCGCCTCTCTTTATCTGCCCACATATGGATCTGCGACTGACAATTACAGTCGTGAGCGGTTCATCCGTCGACCGTCTTTGAGATTAATCGTTCAAGTGTCAGAAAATAGGGAAGAATATCATAATTTACCAGAGCCGAGGGCGATGTTTGCTAGCGGTGATCCATCAAGTGTGATCTTGGAAAGAAATTAGTTTTTGACGAGAAACCGGAATAAATACAGTTGTTTGAAGGAGATGTTTTCCCCGCGATATATAGATATTACAGAAGTATGGGATGTATGACCTGAAGTATGGGATGTATGACCCGTTTAACTTTACTAACACAAGCTCTAAGCAGCTTAAATAAATAACAAACTACATTAAACTACTTTTTTCCCTTTCTAAATCAGTGGAATTGTGTGTTTTTCTTTTTGCAAATAACCACTATAGACGACTATAACAAAAATACAAGGCAGCAAAGAAAAAAAAAACCTAATCTGGGCATCTCTTAAAGTACATTTGCTCTTTTTTTTTTACATCCTAAATTGATCCAAGACTCAAAACAGAACTGTGAGTTCTGTGACCCGTTGCACCCCTACTGTCTTCAAACGTCTCGTTCATGTCCGATCCAACCAACCAAAGCGCAAAGACATTCAATTTAGATAAAACAAAAACACCAATTGTTCATTTCGAGGCTAAACTTTTAGCAACAAAAGTGCTGCTGTCACCGCGCGGTGATACGGCTGGCGGATGTAGTTCAGTAGAAAGAAAATAGTTTCGACATGAAACCGCTCACAACAAGGTGCGTTACTGGGTCCTGATTTTATAGAGAGAGACATTGCTGCTGAGTTTTTCAAATGTATGTATGTAAACTGAGTGCCATATAGTCCAATTTATATTGGACAAAAGGCAGACATCTCTATTCCAGATATCTCCAAAACTAGGCAACTTGCATCGAAACAATCGAAACTGATGAATAGCACCACAAGTAAGAGGCAAAATATGTATTTTTGATAACGATCCCAGCAATCTTTAGTGCATCTACCATTCACTTCCACGGTACAAAGTGTTTCAAGTGGCTCAGGCAGCAGTATGAGGGTTAACAGAAGACAATCACATCACATTAAATTAAATTAGTGTGCAAACTCAGTATCCTCCAGAAGTGGCCAACATGACAGACGACTCCTCCCAAATGTCTGTGACGTGAGCGGGCCGTGGGAGCTCGGGGGGGGGGGGGGGGGGGGGGGGG